AAAAAAAAAATGAAAAAATATTACAAACATTGATAAGAAAAACTATGAAAAAACATTGTTCTTCTTGATGGACTTCCAATATGTAAATTAATTTATGCATGGTTTCTCTGGAATCCAAGAAAAGAAAATCATTTCAAATAACAACCTTATTATACATAGTTGCAGTATGCAATGGAAACTTTGTAACAACTGTAATAGCTTTACTTAGTCCTTGGATATATACGAGCCCACAATGGAAACTTCATTACGACTGTGAACTCTTCCTTCTCTGACAAATCGATATCATCCCCTTGAACAGCCTTCCATTCAAAACACCAGACCAAATTGGCAACAAAGTATTCCAAATGAAGCGTGGCCAGAGAATAGCCAGGACAGAACCTTCTCCCTGCTCCAAATGGCATCATCTTGATCTCCTTGTTGCCAGTAATATCCAACAATTCCTGACTACCATTCAGAAACCTTTCAGGCTTGAATGCCATAGGATCTTCCAGACTTTCGAGTCCCATCCCATCTGTGCCATCAGGAAATTTACTGTCCCATTTCGGGGCACCAAAAAGCCATTTAGAACCACATCTTCTATCACTCCGTGTGGTAGCACAAAGTGTCCAGGAGGGTGGCGTCTTAGGCCTTCTAAAATCACCTCTTTTAGATAAGGCATCTTATGCAGTTCATCTTCTCCTACCACCACTTCCTTTCTATCTCCCACAACCCTTTTGAACTCCATGAAGAGATTCTCTTGGACATCCCCGTACTTAACCAAATTCGCCATGATCCACTGCAATGTTGTGGCTGTGGTATCAGTGCCACCATCAAGACATTCTGCACACAAACTCATCATTTGACGCTCATCAAGCTTCCTCTTCTCGTCTGGGAGTTGTAGATCCAACAACGTATCAACATATGATAAAACATTCTCATCATATTCATCCTCTTTTCTCTTTTTATCCTCTTTCGCCTTGCTCTTCCGTGCCCTTATCGAAGGGATGAATATTTCTTCTTGATTCCGGTGAATTTGCAATAACTCCTCCCAACGTTTATAAAACAAAATCCTTGTCATTCTTGGCCAGAAGTTAAACACACTGAATTTCACCTGGCCCAATAGAATGCGACACTGAGCATCCTCTATCTGTTTGATCTGGTTTTCATCAAGCTTGTCACTAAAACACATTGAGCACGTTTGGGAGCCCGGAAAAACCATGGGATGGGACAAAAAATTTGTCCCATCCTGCTGTATCCCATGTTTGGTAGAACTAGAAGATGGGATACCCTGTATCCAATCCTTTATCCTATCCTATGGTCATTGAATAAAATGTAACTCACCTATCTCATGGGATTCAGTGGGATAAAATTTCATTTTCATATTTTACCCTCCTGTTCCTCTCGCGATTTTTCTGTGTCTCCCATGATTTTCTCCGTCATCTCCAAACAAATCAGCTATCAAAGATGAACTGAAGATTATAGCAACGTTAAGAATCGAAGAACTTCACCAAAAAAATGATTCAATTTTTGTCTGGGTTCGTGGTTGATATCAGAGAATGAAATGGTACTTTGGAACTCCAAGTCTCTGATGAGATTTCATTGGAAAAGATGAAGACTTCTTAAATCTAGTTCTAGCGATGTAGGTGAAGGGCAATGGTGGAGTCCTAGGTGAAGGCCAAGGGAGGAAGGGAGACGGTGAGGGTATGGATGAGTTTTGTTCAGCCCCCATTTCATTTCCTTTGATATTTTTTTTTTTTGGCAGAACTTTTATTTAAAAGGAGTCATTTTTATTTGTTAATTTTCTTTAAATTTCTAGCAAACAAACAACAAATTTCTTTTGGAGGATTTAAAGATATTTTTCATCCAAATTTTAGTTTGCTTGAAGATGCACCTAAAGTGGGTTTGTTAGAAGACTTTGGTGGTTTGTCTGTTTGATTTATGAGAAAATGATGGAAATTTTTGATGATAATTAAAACTGCCTAATTGGGATTTTGTTGTAGTTATTATATTCAATTAATTAATGATAATTAATTTATTAATATTAATCCATAACTATTGAAAAACAAATTAAAATACTATAAAAAAATTAACAATTTCGGTTTAATTGTGATTTAGGGATATTTTTATTCATATAAGTAAATTTTTATATCTAATCCAATATTTATTTCATAATCACTCACTATATCATAAGTTAAAATATATCTTATCATATCTAATCCAATTATATCTTACGCTATAAATTTTATCTAATCCAATCCGAACCTTTGTAACAAACGTGGTCTTAGGATTTTCAAAACCCAATTATGAGCATGAGAATAAGACTTGATGCGAGGAGGGCTAAGCATTTCAGCTGTGAGATTTCTGCGAAGACTACGCCAGGTTGGTCCATAAG